CTCTTCCAACTTAATATAATCTGGATTTATTGGAGAATTTAGGCATTTTAGATATACATTTGAAAATTCGATATACTCCCCTTAATCTGCAAAGAGAAGCTAATTTAGTTAAAGATTTTCAATTTATAATGATTCAAATTTTATTTACTTGAACATTTTTAGATAGATAAAAGAATATGTATTCTGCATGCTATTCTCAACTAAATTTCTCAAATCTAAAACATCTGACTAAATAATCACAAATAGCTTTTGAATGAATATTTTTGTGATAAATGAATTACAGTATATTAATTAGCCATTAGCCTTTGTATTTAAGTTATTAATGGCTAAATTATCTATTTCTAACACTGCCAAATCAATGATTTAAATAAATGAAATATTTTAACTTGACTCGAATAATAATGTAGAATCTGTTATCCTCAGATCTGCAATCGAGTTATTAGTAAATATAAAACTGCCTCTTTAATTATCTAAAGCATTTAGAACAATCTCAAAATTAGTTGAATTCAAATTAACTCTAGAATATCCATTTCCTTAAATCTACATAAATTAACCAGCAATTTTATTGGTTTCAATTATAAAAGTGGCATTTAAAATATCTACTTAGGCTTAATCTTTAACTATCAAATAAACTGATTAGGCTAGTCTTGATAGAGGAATATTTGATTAATTTATTTTAAGATTACAAGAATCACAAAATATTAAAATTTGTTAGAATACTGAAAAGTTAGTTTTGGTATTATCATTATCAAAAGAACCAGCAAAAGTAGAATTAGTATCTTTAATGATTGTTCCATTACTTGCATAAATCAAAGAATCAAATGTTCTTAGATTATCAATGTCAAATTTATTGTTGTATAATTTAATCAATCCAAAAGCTTAGAAATCCAGAAAATATCTTTGAAATTCATAATCTAAAATTTCAACATTTTGAGATGGCAACCAACTTTAATCGTAGTTTCCTAAAATGAATTCATTATCGATAATATCAATCTCAAAATCAAGATCTTAATCAGATTAATTCGTTGAAATAAATTACCCAGTTTCAGCTTGGAGATTATCAAATTTAGAGGCACTTATAGATATATTAGTTTTCTTCAAATCTTAACCTAGGGTTATTAATCCACCTGGACCACTGCAATAAATTTCACTCACAATTATATTTTAAAGTTTCAAATTAATTGACCCTCCTTGAAAATTGAATACTCCTTTCTATTAGGTGTAAAATTGCAATATTGCTGTACTAATTATTTCAATTTATATAGCAATATCTATATTTGTCGAAAATATTCCATTAAGTCCAATCAACTATTTAAAAGACGATTGGCTAATGATTATTGTGTGGCAATCTTCTTTGCAAGAAGTATTGTAAGGGTTTAAAGTTTGATTTTATTGTTATCTCCAGTTAATAATATTAGTTTAGGCTTCTAATACATTTCTTAAATATTGATTACTATGTATTAGGGAACTCTCTTAGAAATCCGAAGGGATGTAATTACCCTATCCTATAATACTACCGCAAGAATTTATGTTCTCAAATTATGTATTAATGATCTGAATATATCCTCCATATTGATTTATTTCAATCATCGAGCCAAAGTTGTAGAGAAAATTCTTGAAGATTACATTCTAAAAAGTATAATTGTTATGTTAAACTTTATAGTGTTACCTCTAATTTTAGATAAGGAGGAGAATCGGCGTTGGTTTAATCGCTAATATCAAACTAGATGAAAGATCCAAAAGCAATTGAAGAATCACATGTTGATGATCTAATTAACTGATTATAAAATAAATTACGGTTTATAATTCAAAAAGCAAAAGTCTTGACCTTTTATATCGTATATTTTAGTAGATTCATTCCATTCAGAATTGCAGCATGAATTTATTGGACTTAATAAGCAATTAAAATTATTGTGACCTAATTAGCCAATTTCAAGATTTAGCTGTCGTGGATCTAATATTGAATCTGTACCATCAAATTCTATATTTCTAATAGTCAAACCCCCACCTACCTTAAATGTAAACTTATCTCTCAATTTATAATAAACTTTTGTAGAAACTCCATCTATAGTGTCAAATATTATTTGTGTTGATTAAGAATTCTTATCCTCTGCATTTATTAAATCTATCAGATTTTCATCATATCTTGACATTGAGTGTGTTTGATTTGAAAATAATAGGATCTTAATTATCGCTGATTCATAGGGTGAACCTAATTCCATGGCTCTTGATATTGCATCTAGTAATGAATTATGAGGATATCATATTGAACCATCTATTTTTTCCGCATCTGATTATCCGAATTTTGATTAAACATGCATTGTAATCTCAAATTAGCCTTGTTTTTTCAGACATTATCCTATATTTTTTCCTTCCTCTTTTTGTAGGAAAAACCCTTTTTTGCAAGAAAGGCATTTATTTTCAGATGAGCATTCATAGCAACTTTAATCACATTACAAGCAAACAGTCTTTTATATCATTCCACTTTAAGAGTAACTAGCCAGTCCATATTGACCGATACCACAATTAGGAACACATTTTCCAGTCATCTAATTTACATAGCCATCCAAACATGCTACTATCTAATCCTGAATAACATTTTCTTCCTCATTCATTTTGAAAGTACATCTTAATGTTTTTATCAAACGCTCCCAATCTGAATTATTACATTCTAAACAACATAATTAATGAAATTTAAATTGATTACTATGACAAAGCTGCTTATCATTTTGCCTAAAAATATCGTAACCATATGCACATTCTAAGCAAGTATGATAACTTGCAGCTACTAAACAAATGTCAGGCTGAAGATCTATTGTTTTAAAGTTTAATGAAATTTACTTGGCTAGCAAATATCTTAGAATCTTTAAGCGGTAGCATTGTAATATCCTTTCTCTTAAATGAAGTATCCATTTTTGCACTTAATACAATTATAACTATCCTCAAAATTAAATATTGCACAATTTTAATCCGAATTCACATCTGACTCTGTAAGTGGAACTAAAATAGTATTATATACATTGTTTTTACCACAAGGATTTTCATAATTATTCAATAAAAGTGATCTTTGGTTCACAGGATAAGTACATTCTTGACAAATTGTTGAATCCAAGCTTGAGCATTATTAGCAATCGTAATTGAAATCACATTCTATGTCGGTATTAAATATTCAATCGTTACTTTTGCATTGCAGAAAATTATTGCTTATCTAAGAAGTGGTTCCTTGTAATTAATCATTAAACCATCCTGCATTTTAATCTTGTCCTTAACATGTGCCGCAACCTGTAGCAGACAAGCAGTTCTAGCATGATATTCCACACCCTAATTGTATTTACGAGGACAAATTTTACATTAGCAAATAGATGATATCTAATCATTGGAAAAAGAAGAGTGAGCTCTATTGCAATCAGGTGTGCAAAATGAGTAATTATTGGAAAAATCTTTTTATTAGAGAGTCTAAGATAGCAAAAATAACCCATCACTGCATTAAAGACATTAGACAGAGTCATAATTATCTAGTGAAGTTACATAGCATCTTTCACATCCGAATATTGCCTAGTTGCATTCTAAAACATTAGTTAAATTGAATTTTTGAATGATTGATGAGTGTTCATCGATAATTACCTTAGCAAGTATTCAGACTTTCATTTAAGAATTAATTATTTCAACCTAAAGTATTTAAAGTAATTAGACAGTACATATCAATGAGTATGAAATTTAAAGCTTGAATACATAGGCTATTATACCTATACCAATTAGTTTATCCTTTATCATTTTAATTTTTAAATATATATTACAAGATGCTATTAATATGATATCTTTGAATTATAGACTTTCCAAATTTCATTGCAATAATTCGCATGGGGTTTTGGGGTTTTGGGG